TAAGGTAAACGAAGCGGATGAAAATACCACTTTCGGATACCTAAGCTTAGTGTTCAGGAGTCGATCCCGATGATTTCAACCACATAGAATTGTAATCCTTCGCTTTTCAGTAGATAGCTTGGGACATGAAATATAACAAAGATAAATTAATCTATTTTAGTATAACGTTCGCTACACACTAATTGAGAAAGCATGGGGTTGTGAGTAGATTTCTTAACTTGTTTTGCCAACCAAGCTGGTAAGTGTTGAAAAATGGTCAAAAATAAAGCCCTGAAAGTATTGTATATGTAACTAGCTCTGCAGGAACAGTTGAACTGATACACACATATGGAGATGCCTGTCATCGATTATCTCTCCCTTATTTGTCGTGTAAGTACTGGTTTATTTGTGAAGATCTTACGCAACCTAACGACGTTGAATGTTCTTCCGACACTATTTCAATTTTCACCCCGTATATCCCCTTTAGGATAATACTCCAGTTAAAAAGAGTTTTCTTGCTGAATGTATCGAAGTTTATCATATTAATCTTTTCTGACATATTTTTTGACTAAATTATCAGGATAACCGTCATTTCATAGTATATTCTTTAATTCATTAATTTCATTATCCATATTGTCCTCTGAACATAAGATTCTGATTCAATATCTGTGACATCATACCTGATCAATTTCGTACTGAAGAGGTATAACGTATGAAAATACGTGTGATGACCTTGTACATATGTTCTTTATAATTTTCAACTACTGTTTATCAATAAGTAACATGGTTAATATACAAAAATGTGATCGTTTGGGAAAGAAATGACAATAAAAGACAAACACAATTAACGTCATGAAAGCGTTCATTATCGACATATCGACAGATAAAATTGATCTCTGATTTTTATCCAAAGTTGTGACTACTTAACTAAGTGACACCTAGTAACTAGTGATAAAAGTCCGGCATTTATCTGAAGTACTATACCATTATTAGGAAAATATATTGAATACATTTACCATCTACAATTCGTAAGATACCCACAGTATTTCATACGTCAGTGTACAATCAAAGAAGAATAATTCCTGAAATGGATATATAAAAGTTATTTATAACAACAAATAATAAGCTTTGTAAGCTCCTGGAGTTGTGTTAAAACTATAAGCGGAAGACAAAAATGAGTAATGTAAATGAGGAACAATAAAAGTTGGAAACCAAAACTCGAAATTACATTTGTAAAGATCTCAGTGATTGAACTGTCAGTAAATCCAAAGTTTCCCTTGTCAATCTGGTCCAAACAATTTTGGGAAAATATAATCAAACATCAAGATTATTGAATATAAATACATGACTCACCGGTGAACTTTACCGAAGTGTTAGATGATATTTTTAAAATACGCTTCAGTGTAAATCCTATACGGTAATAACTAATATAAAAGTCGAACTCATAAGTTAATTAAAGCTAAACTATCATGGAAAACCTGGAAGCACTGAATGGCCGATCCTGTGTTAGATCCTAGGTTCAAAACTTGCGGGACAGGCACGTGGATGCGCACTTCTGTGAAGTCCCATACTAGGACGAAATGGTCGTCCAGTATTTTCAGGTTTTCCTTGATGGTCTAGCTTCAATTGACTCATGAATTCAACTGTTAAATCACTAAAATCCATCCACGTGCCTGTCCCGCAAGTTTTGAACCTAGGATCTAACACAGGATCGGCCATTCAGTGCTTCCAGGTTTTCTATGATGGTCTAGCTTCAATTGACTCATGATTCCAATCAGTGAAATTTCTAAAAATCTCAATAAAATCACTTCTGATACAAAATAAATGTGAAAAATATTTAAATTATTGGTTTTGATTAAATAGTTAAATGTTAAAATTTTCAACTGGTTAGCCCGATATAAAACTTTTCAATCTATGTATCTAGGGTCAAAATGATAGTGCATATGTTGAGTAGTTCAGTGGTATGATATCTAGTATCCGATTATTTTTCAGATGATAAAAATAAGGTTTGCTTTGAGTATTAGGCAAAATATTTTCAGGTGCTACGTTAACTTATGATTTAAACTTCAGTATTTAAGATTTTAAAAAATGTCGGATTTTATGGAATTTAAAGGTTAATAATATGATATAGGTTATTTCATGGTTGATAATGTTAAAATTAGGTACAAAGATTCTAACAGAATAACGGTAATAGTGATATTTAGAAATCCTAATTACAAAATAGGTATAAATTACTCACATGAAAGAGTTTAGCTGAGAGTTATACTGAAGAAACATCAATATAGTATAGCAAGGGTGTATAAAAATTTAATAGACTGGATATTGTAAATATATACATTGCGTAAAAGAAAATTCTCCAACATTGATTGTGACAACAGTTCACACGGCCAGAAACAAGTGATTACATAATGAGTAAAACTTGGTTAATAAAATAAGATTAATAATCTGAATGATAGTTGAAATAAACTCAGTGATGTAATAAATACAAAAAGGAGTTAAAGGAAAAAGTTGAAGTTGCAGCAAACGAATATTTGTCACCAAGGCAAGGAAAGATTAATAAGCTTCTCTATTTGAACGCCTGATAACAACGGCTTCAACAAACTTAAAAAGACTTAAGTTTGGCTGTTTATTATTCACCTTGAACGATTACAAGGTATCGACCTGGTGAGAAACGTATTCAGTGCATTATATGTAATTTGAATAACATTGTGCATATTGACTGATCTATTGTTTACATACAAATTAGGTTAAAGCAGTTACGTAACCAGCAAAACAACACTGTCCCAATTTTCAAAGTTGGATTTACGAGTCCATCTAAGACAAATCACCATTCAAAACCTAGAAACACTACACGGTCATTTCTTTCTAGTATGGGACTCTTCAGCAGTGTTCAGCCAAGATCATGTTCTTACTAGTGACTAGCTTTGAGAGGTAATTCTTGAAGTTCTGCTGAGAAGCTGTGACCAGTAGAGCTAATTCATGTCGGATGTAGGACACTTATTCACCTCCGACAATGGATAAATTGTTATTCGAGATCAATCAAGTTAAACCAAAGATCCTGAGTTGAAGTCCCATATGTAGGATCGTGAATGTGCACATTTAAGTTCAAATGTCACACTAAACAAAAACTGATAAAATTTTATTTAAAAATAGAATTATTATCATTTTACAATTATACACAAATACAATGAATAGTGAAAAAAATTTTAAAAAAATAATAAATAGAGTACCGATTTAATACCATAGTGATAGATATGAACTTGTTTAGTTAGTTAGTTAATTAGTTTGTTTGTATGTTTGCTCTTTTCATTTTGTAAAAAGTTTTTTTTTGTTTTTACAAATTATAATTGTAACTATTAAAAGGGAGAAATGTATGTTGAACAATGTCAAAAATAATTTTAAAAAATTAAAAAAAAACAAATTTAGGTAGCAACAATTTCATAACAGAACTTTTTAATTGAACTAAACACAATGTAGGACATCACATGGTAACATCAGTAAAATTTAAAAAAAGTAATTGAATATTTCATTATTTATGATATGATTAAAAAGAAAATTACTTTGAATTTATTGCCTAAATTAATATATATATATGATTAAAACAAAGTTTTGTTTGAATGTTCAATATATTTGAATATCTTGATCAAGATTGATAGATAGATACGAAATTAATAACAATTGAATTTACTCAAAAACTCCTCTGATTAAATCAATATTATACGCATATATATATATATATATATATATATATATATATATATATATATATATATATATATATATATATATAATGAATTAGTAACTATCATTGAATGGATATATATATATATATATATATAGAGAAGATTGAGTTATAGTTTGTTACAGTCAATATTGGTTTGAATAATACAAAAAAACAAACATCCATATCATTATGATCATATTGAGAAATAAATGTACATCTATGATAAATAATCATTTATTTATATCTATGATCTTTTTATTCTTATTATTATTCATATTTATCAATGATATGAATGCATCAAATAATGAAGAGATATCTGTAGTGAAATGGAAATTTAATGAATATGAAGTACATATTACTGTGATGTTATTTTTATTATCAGTAGTATTTATTAAAATTGCATATCATCATATACCATATATATCATCCTATGTGCCAGAATCACTTATACTTATTATCATTGGTATTCTATTTGGTGTAATAGTACGTTATGGTATTGATCAAGGTTCAATTAAAATTATATCATGGAAATTTACACCGGAAATATTTTTTAATTATTTATTACCACCAATTATATTAGAATCCGCCTATGGTTTATATAATCGTACATTTTCTGAATATCTTGGTACTGTTATGTTATTTGCTGTACTTGGTACAATATTTAATTTTTTAATTATTGGTTTTGTTATGTATGGTTTATATATTGGTGGAGCATTAGGTTATCCAGAGATTACATTAGATTTAAGTAGTTTTTTATTATTTAGTTCATTAATTGTTGCTATAGATCCTGTTGCTGTATTAGCTATTTTTCAAGATATTGGATTAGAATTAAATTTATATTATATTGTATTTGGTGAATCATTATTAAATGATGCTATTACAGTTGTATTATATGAAATTATGATTGCATTTACTGGTAAAGATATTGTAACTGGTTCACAAATTGGTATTGGGATTGCATCATTTTTTACTGTTAGTTTTGGTGGTTTATTAATTGGTGTTGTATTTGGTATTATAACATGTTTAATTACAAGAATACGTAGTCATTTAGCTGTATTTACAATATTATTATTAGCATATTTTTCTTATATTATGGCAAATTGTGTTGGTTGGTCCGGAATTATCTCAATGATTGGTTGTGGTTTAATTCAAACTGCATATGCATTTCATAATGTTGATTCACAAACACGTATTACAGTACATAATTTTATAAGAGTTATTGCAGAAATTAGTGAATCTGTCATATTTTTATTCTTAGGTATATCTATTATTAGTGAAACATTAAAATGGCATACAGGTTATATATTATGGACATTATTCATATGTATAATAGCACGTTGTATAGTTGTATTAATTATGACATCTATTGTAAATATTATTAATATAGATGATATTAAAATTACAATTAAAGAACAAATTGTATTAATATATGGTGGTTTACGTGGTGCAATTGCATTTTCATTAGTTATATTAATACCATCTAATATATTAGGTAAAAATGGTGAAGAGAATCAAAGTTTACTTGTTACTACAACATTATTTATTATCTTATTTACAGTGGGTATTATGGGTATTACTATGAAACCATTAGTAAAACTATTACATATACGTATGGAACATAAAAAAATTATTAGTTTATTTCAATCATTAAACGATAGTATTATTGATGAAACATTAGCTTGTATTGAATTAATTATTAATTGTAAACGTCGTAATGTATTAAGAGATTTCATTAAACATATTGATGAGAAATATATCCGACGTATATTACAAAATAATCCAGAATATTATAATGAGAAATTATTTAAAATTTATGAGAAAATTTCATTACGTTTACATTATGCCACTATACGTCCTATACAATCGAAATGTTTATTAACTGATTTACCAGAATCGATTATATCAAAATATTTTATGAATCAATTAACACCGAACAATAATCAATATATCACTATTCATAGTAATAATAATAATAATAATAATAATGATAGAAGGGCTAGTAACTATTTAATTAATGATATACTTAATACTTATCCAGATGATATTATTGATAATAACAATAACAATAATAATAATAATAATAATAATGAACAATATGAAAGAATGAATCATTTACTTCAACATAGAAACTCATCTATAATAAATAATCAATTAGGGGATGGAGATAGAATCAATCAATCAATCAATACTACTACTACTAATAATAATAATAATACGAATAATAATAATAATATTGATCCACAACAAATGAATTCATTATCTGAAACAATGATAATAAGAAATGCTAAACGTAAATCAATATTACCAAATATAATTGAACAACAAACAGAATTTAATGATGAATTTGTAAATATTTTATTACAACGTAATCGTGAATTAATGTTAAAATTAAAAAAACAAACAAAATCAAAATTATCTAAACATCAAATACCGACTAAAACATCCTCATCATCGTCGTCGTCATTTACACCTCCATCAGTATTACCTTCAACATCAATATCAATGTCATATGAAATGACTAATAATAATAGATCATTAAGAAATATAAATAATACAAATATTATATTGGATGAAATAAACGAAGATAATCATCAACAACAACAACCATCACAATACACAACTCAAACGGTTATTCATGATAAACGGCATAAAAAGTCAATTTAAACTCATTTTCAGGGTATTTTTTAAAAAAGAAAAAGAAATTCTCTTCTATTACTAATGATATACATTGTTTCATACTATTATTGATTTCTTTTAAATGAATTTGATCTTACTTTACATAGTTCATTTTATTGATTTATTTAACCTTTAATGATTACATAATCGATTTGTTTTTTTTTTGTTTTTTAAAAAGTAATGATTGGATAAGAAATCCCAACAATCTCATACTGATAATTACCATGTATTTGTTAGTAACTAGTTTCAACAGTTAATTGCTGGAATTCTAGTAAGAAGCTATGACTAGTGGAACTAATCCGTGTCACATGTGAGACAATTATTTATCTTAGATGATGGATGAAGGATTGTGTAAGTTGTACTTAGATATTGGTACATTTGGATCGGCAAAAATGGCGTGAGACCGGAGGTCCTAGGTTCGACTCCCTCTTCCAACAAATAGCCATTACTACACTATTCATGTTTGTGCATAGTCTATTTTGACACAGTTAGCATATAATATATCACTAACAGGTATAAAATTTTACTTCATCGTAATGGTTTAGAGTTCACCTAGAAATCAATAAGTTGTGAACATATGATTGTCGTTTAGTTAGCTAAATGATAGAGATAATTTCAATTCGAAGTGGGCGTGTTTGTGATAGACTAATGTTGGAATTGTGAATAATTGAATTTCATCTGATTGATTTGATAGTATCTAGTCCGCATAAAATCATGAACAACTTGTGCTCGATCGTATTTCAACTATAGGTATTCAACTAGTTTGAAATATGCTCCATTTATTATCTATTACTTTCCCTTAAGACAAAACAAACATTCATCGATTCATAATCTCAATAAAAAAACTCTACGATTTCCATAATCTCATACTGAGGAATTGTTTAACATAAAACGTTTTCTGGCAAATTGTCAAACAGGAAGTTCTTAGGGATGATTTGCAATTGAACTACCAAAGTATGGTTCATTTATGAAAATAACTGTGTTCAGTTAAGCAATAAAGTTCCATAATTTATAGATATTCTACTGATGGGGGAATTCAGTTGAAATTATGTTTAAGTAGATTAAAATGTTCCTAAACATTTTTAATACAATCCTATAATATTACAGTAAAAGTAGTGAAATTAAAAAAAGCACTTTCGAAGTAAAATATTTTCTATAGTTGAGATCATGAGGCAATTGAAGCTAGACCACAATAAAAAAACTGGAAGCGCTGGACGGCCGTTTCATCCTATCGTGGGTCTCTTCGGCAGTGAATATCCAAGATCCCGCCTCGTGAGATTCGAATGCACGACCCATTGGTCTCGCGCGCGAACACTTAACCTCCAGACCACTAGTCTGGCCGGTGTCCAACTGTGTTAATGTCTAAATTCAACTAATCCACGAAATTAAGCTACACGTACACCATTGTTTTCAGTGAATTTCTATCTTACAACAGACCCTGTTGAACTCCACTGGTCACTGGTTCTGTGGAAATGAGCATGACAAACTTATTTTGTAAATATTTTTTGATATTATTTGCATTTATATCGTTAATTTTCACACTTTGTACATATACCACAAAATGTTTGTTCATGTTGTTCTAGTACATGACCTTGAACACACATTCTTCCGTTGTATGACTCTCATAGTATGACACATGCTGTTAACTGCTCATAAATACACTACCATACACACGTCTATCGTTCTCCATTGCCTGTGGTTATGATAATTGAACTGTGAAACATCCATTATCTATATTTATAGACTGTTGCCACATTTACATTATATTCTAAGTCTAGCTATATTACTGTGTAGGACCAGCTAAATGACACTAAGCCCTAGCCAAATCATCCGGCAGTTGGGTCATTGAATATCGAGCAAATCATCGATCCTCGTCAAGGTCAGGGGCGACCAACGCGCATCAGTTAATCATATACCATGGACTGGCCCATGCGGCAGTGGTCTTACTTTCGCTTGTATCTACTTTAACTAATATATTTCTGTAATACCGTCCTCTGTGTTGTACAGTCTTCAGAGCATCTATGGTACCTTGATAGATCGATGGGGTAGTCCACGTAAGGTGCTGACCACGAGGTGTGACTTCGACGCTAGCCAGTTTGTCACACCATTCACGTCTAACTCGAGTATGCCTCCAATCATTTCGACATAGATCATCTACGTTGGTGATCTACAACTGAAACCATAACAACTTCATCGGAGTTACTAATTATTTATAATTGTGGATTCTGGTAACAAACGCAACCCGAACACGTACAAGCCTTCCGATGTAAGTAACGTTTCTTAACTTTTATTTGTGCTTATAACTTATAACTGATATAACATTAACATTTGGACATAATAACTTTATTGCTATTTTTGAATTAATATATTTTTGCTCCACCACACTTTTCACTAGAACTCCAGGAAATATCTCTTGAAGCCAGTCACTAGTGAGTATATGTCGATTAACATCAGAAAGGGTTTTTGGGATAGTATAGTAATTTAATAATAATAATAATAATAATAATAATAATAATAATAATAATCAGTTTATGGATGAAATGACGGCATGGTTATTACAATGAATAGATTTATTTTACAGTTTTATGGTAAAGTCAACAATGGATTTTTATCATGGATTAGTTAGTGTTGGGAGTGTGTTATTTATCATTATAGATGAATATCCGTAGTCTGATTCTGTACACAGAAAATGATCTCCACTTCAATCTAATTTATAATTTGGGAGATAAAGACTTCAGAAGTAGAGAACATTCGTAGGTTACTAATATTTATATATAATCATAGATGTCCTCAAGACTTTGATCATTTATACTCGGACAACCAAACAAATAATAATGTTAGACGCAAAGTAGGCAAAGATCGGTAATCAGTTGATAATATTATGAAATGTCATTGGTTGGGGTCGTTTATATATATATATATATATATATATATATATATATATATATATATATATATATATATATATATATATATATAATGTATGGTCAACCACTCCCTTCCTCAACAAACAATGTTGTTTGAATTAGGAGTGCGTTTGACCAAACCTAGAAGCTAGCAATCCTAAACAAGACAGTAGGTCACGAAGCCATTGTCATCCAAGTCTGGACCTTGTACTTTTAGGTACAGTTCATATAAATAAGTGCCTCAAAATCGGTTACATTATACTAAATATATTTGTTCATTTTCTATTCTTGAAACTACAGTTTCAAACTATTTTCTGTCATCAATTACGTGAATTCATTAGATGAAGTTAGGCATTAACACCATTGGATGCCGGCCGACTCAGTGGTCTGGAGGTTAAGCGTTCCTTTGCGAGACCGATAGGTCCTGGATTCGAATCTTGCATGGCGAGATCGTGGATACGCACTGATAAGGATAAAACGGCCGTCAAGTGCTTCCAGATTCTCCATGGTGGTCTACATTCCATTGACTCATGATCTCAACTATTAAATCATATATTTCTATTCATTTTCTAAGTTTTAACATTATTTCTCACTTGCGCTACTACAAATTCTATTACTCTCATATTTATTTATACTAACATAATATGAGAACCAAGTGACGATTCATAATGATCACTAATTCTGCCTAATTTACAAATTGGTGACATACACTTTCAATGTACATGAATAGAATATTCCCAATCATAATACAAGTAACTTTTAATTACATTTTAATGTTTTTTTCTCAGAAGTGTACTTTTATGTCAATCAAAATTCTTTTTAACTTAACAGTATATTTCTTATTATCATTTGGTGTAATGAACGAGAATGAAAAGTGAGACAATCAAATATATTCGAATACGGAATTACAGAATACCCTAGTCAAATCTATGAACCATACAATAAATACTTCATTTGTAAAATGTCAATCTATTGTCTCACAATTCATTAATCCTTTATGTCTACACCAATCACCTTCTGTTCTCATTCACATCTCTTTGATCTTCTTAACCTTCTGCTGTCAGGTATTTCACTTTCGAGTGATAATACATACTACTTATATCTGTCGATATCAGTAGCAGACACCACAGTATGATACATGTACACACTAACTCGAATCCACTTTTTTTAAGATTGACAAAGTTAAAAAAGATTGATCAATTGATACAGATAAACTGATCTCATTTAAAGTTAAACGAAGGAATTAATTGAAATATCAAATTATCATTAAAAACAGAAGTATTAAAGAAAAAGTCTCATTTAATTTACTGGATTAATTTGATTGTATAAAAAGTAGTGTTAAACTCTATTCATTAGGTAATCAGATAAATAGTTAAGAAGAAAATAATAATGATTGGCTAAATATCTGTAATTGAAACATTGATAATTAAAAATGGATATGGATCATGAACTGATCAGTGTTAGAACAGCATTAGAAATCTGGAAGCACTAAACGACCGTTTAGTTCTAGTATCAATCTGCTCAATAATGCACATCCACCATCTTACACTAAAGGAAATGGAGCACAGAACTTTAGGTATCCGCGCAGAGGAATAATATCTAGACTACTGAGCCGTCATCCAATGGTATTGATGTCCAACTTCAATCGATCCATGATCATATGCAACATTTCATTGATTGACGGAGGTGGATAACTGTCTCATATCCAACATAGATTGAACTCCACTGGTCACGGCTTCCCACTAGAATTCCAGAAAATTCATCTTGAACCTAGTCACTAGTGAGCACATGATCATTATCATTATGGGGATTTATAGGGATTGTAATAATTTTAATAGTTGAATTCATGAGTCGATCCGACAACACTACAATAAATACTTCATTTGTAAAATATTAATCAATTATGTCAAACTTAATTATTCGTTTAATTCCACACTAATCACCTTTTATTCGCATTCTCTTCTCTTTGATCTTCTTAATCTTCTGATATCAGGGCATTTCACTTTTAATTAATGATATATACTACTTATATCTGTCAACATCAATACAATACATTACAAGCATAATTAAAATTCTTTTAATCACATGTGAATATGAATGATGACAATTATTATTATTATTATCAGATTAGTTACATAACATGAATGAAGAATAATTTTTCATTAGAAAAAGAATATCATTTTTCTTTTCCATTTTTTTTTCTTCTTCTTCAGTGAAATA